TATATATACATATACATACATATACATCATATACATATATATATATACATATACATATACATACATATACATATAGATATATACATATATATATATATACATATACATACATATACATCATATACATACATATACATATATACATATATATATATATAATATATATATATGTATATATCTATATATAAATATACATATATACATATATAAATATGTATATATACATATATAAATATGTATATATATGTATATATACATATGTATATACACATATATATATACGCGTGATAATTCTCACGTACACAACTATCATCATCGCGTGACCCTTGTTGGTCATATATCTCCTTTATGGTCGATCGAGGAGCGTTACAATCATCGGGTAGTCACTAAGCGACCCATATCGACAACGCATGTGTCTACAACTAATCAATTGTCATTGTGTGTCATCAACATAGCGCAATTGTAAGCCGCATGACAACCCATCATCAACATCATTTGCCACCGTTGCCTTAGACCATCTTCATCGTCCTCGTCAACACCGATCAAGGGCAGCACCACCTTCATATGCTATCGCATGCATCCGACTTTGTCATGCCATCACAGCAACAATAACACCACTTAAAGGCAATCGTTGTCCATAATGGCAAATGTCACACGTAGCGTTGTTACACTTTCATTGCTTGGGTTGCTACACACAACAATCGTCGCTGCATACGACAGCAATGCTACCATCTTTGTAATTGTTGCGTATGACAAGGTCGATGACCAACAAAAACCATCATCCTCAATAGTGCTTTGGTTGATAGCAAGATATTGACGGTAGCCTGCCAAACAAATATAGATAATATACTTTTACCGTGGTTCCAATTGCACCGTAAACGAGCGAGAAATATAAATAAATTTAGAGATCGAACAAGACGGATGAGATAAAAAAGTATATCAACAATATAGATAGATTGTTCAACTATCGTACAATCAAATTCGAATAACACATTTTCATAACTAAAATGTGTTAACAAATAGATTTAAATACAAAATAGATCCAATATACATTTACGATCCATGATATTTGATTTTAAAATATAGCTATGATATCAATTATAAGTATAAAAACTATAATTACACTTTTATACCAAAAAAAATTTATGTCAAAAACTAAAATCAAATAACGATATATCAAATATTATGATTATGTATCTCTTGATGCTTTTCAGAAAACTTTTATTTGATCTATAAACATGCCATCGTTAAGTCCGAATGAAGCAATGATTTTGATCTATAAAGAAAATTAAACTAATATTTTTTTTCTCTTTTTATTTTTTACTAGACCACTTTAAGTGATGAAATTAAAATAAAAACTATCTTTCTATATTTTCTCATATTTTTCTCAAACACCACATACCATAACATTATGTATCATATTAAAATACTTAAGAGGTTCTATCCATCTAATTATTGGTCACAAAAAGGTCTTATCCAAAGCAAAGTCAAAAATAAATAATCAAGAAAATCGTTCTCGTTAAGATAATCATATCTTAAGAAATTTAATAATAATTTTTTTCTTCTTTTTATTAACTAATAATCATATCAAAATCTAATTAAATATATAATATATCTAATCTAATTTAATTCGAACTTTGATCTTATTCATGCAAGCAAGCGAGCAAACCTTTCTTCATAGTCTGCATCATTGCAAGACCGCTTCTTTGTTCTCAGTAGTAGAGTAGATCGAGTCAACACACTGCAATAAGCTCGACTTTTCCATCGGTCTCGTGCTGATCAAGGGCCCTAAGTTGGTCAACTATGTTGACAAGGACTTTTGGTGGTGCGGTCAACACCATCCAAACGCGATCAAGGACTTTGTCTTCTGAAGTCCTTTGTACGTAAACTCTGAAAGGTCTTCTTCCAATAATTTCGGAGTCCGGAAGAAGACGACACCGCTCTTGGATTAACTTCAATTATTAAATTCACAAAATCACATATAATTACAGCTTATAAGTGTATATTCTAAGTTTATATCAACCCGATCTCCAACCACAGCGAGCTAAGCCATGGGTGTCTCCAAGTTGTTCTTCTCATCCTTCCTCGTCCGTGCTCTTCCTCTTCTCTAGCTTATGACCATAGCCCAAAACTCCCAGCTCTTCTGCGAATACATTGGAGCTCAATTCCACTTCATCCTCGCCTTCGCCATCAACTACGCCACCTCCGCGTCCCTCGCCGATGGATAGTTCAACGTCTTTTGGGATAGCACTAACCTCTCCCCCTTCGCCTTCTCTTCCATCAGACTGGGAACGTGAAGGTGGCTCTTATCTTGGGAGGAGACACCGTGAGCGACAGCCCGACTTACTTCAGTCCTTCTTCTATTGACTCTTGGGTCAACAACGTCGTCTCTTCACTCACCTCCATCATCCGAGACTATAACCTCGACAGTATCGACATCGACTACGAGCACTTCCAATTTGACGTCGACACCTTCGCAGAGTGCATCGGGCAGTTGCTGACGACCCTGAAGAAGAATAATAGGGTGATCTCGATCGCTTCCATAGCTCCTTTCGATGATGCACAAGTCCAGAGCATCACCAAGCACTTTGGGCGAGGTTGTCCATATAACCATGTCAACTTCCAACATCCAGTTGATTGATGAATTTGATATCAATACTAATGAGATGATGACCAAATCAATAATATAGTCATTTTTTAAGTTGATAGATGTCATGGCCTCAATAGTTTCGATCATAAAATATTTACTCCAAGCTTCATCAATAGTATTAGAATAATCTTCTTTACTTGTAATATTTTTTGTTTTTAATCTTCATACGATATTTTTTCTTGATATGATATAACTTGTCACACTTATAACACATAATCTTCTTTCGATTTGTACTATTATTTGAAAAAAAAAAACTCTGGCTTGTTATTAGCATCATCCTTATTTTATTTATCGTTATCATTACCTTTTTTCTTATTTGTAAAAAGACATCTTCATCTCCCATTGAAATAGAGGCTCTCGCCATTTGATGAGCTAGGGATTCTTGAGACATCTTATTTGTAAAACCTATCCTTGAATAGATGTAGTATAAGAAATATATTAAGATTATGAATAATATAGCATTACATTCGTGCATTAGAAATAGGTTCATTTGGATCTAAGAGTGATATATCTTAATATAAATTTTTAATCTTTAAAAAATACTAAGAAATTGAGAGATCACCTTACATAGTATTTGCCAAATCATTCTCTAAATATTGAAGCAGGGTCATATTATTTTTGTTGAACAATGCATCAAGTGTGATTCAAATCGCTGATTTACAATGACTAATATGTTCAAAGAGATCATGAAAAATATATCTTTTTAATATAAATCCAGCATTTGCATTTAAAGTCCTTCATCTCTTCATAGTCTCTTCATCTACAACACCTGGTGCTATTTTTTGTATTACTATCAATCACAACTCATAGATCTTTCCCTATGAGATATGACTTTAAACAAGTCTTTCAGATCTTATAGTTAAACTGATCGAGAAGCTTAATATAAAATCCACGGACTCAACTATAATATTCCATAGTAAAAAAAGATTATCTTTTATAATATTTCATAATAATAAAAAGAGAGAATCACATGTAGTATAATCATTTCTCATATAATAGTAATAAGATACTACTAACCTAAGATTAAATCAAACAGTAGAAATCAAGACGAATTTTTTTTATTGAACTCCTAAAAAATAAAAATATATTTACACTTTTATTGATCTACATATAGATACCATATATTTATAAAATAGAGGTAAAATACAATAGTCCTTAACCTCCCTAACTCTATCTAATTTTATTTAAAAAATTAAAAATATATTTTAAATTAAAATTTTTTATTCTTAAAATTATATAATTTATGATATTTCAAAATATACTTTATTTGTCACCCGAGAATGACTTCTTCGTTGCGGGTGCTGCGCGCTAGTTACTTATTGCACTACTGGGAGTCTCCGCGAAGAAGGGTTTCGTCGTCGCGCGTGGTCTGGAACGATGGGGCCTCTTTCTGGGGAGGCTGATGGTCCTTTTCGCTATCTTTCACGGGTCCCCCTCTTGATTGCCTGCGTTTGTTGTTCACGGAGTCGTAAAGATTCTTTCATTTTCATATGGATCCTCTTTAAGGCGCGGTCGCCGTCTGGGCTCGCCAAATCGGCATCGATTATGAATGCTCCTCTTGGTTTCCTCGAAGACTCGTGCTTGACTTTGGAAACCCTCACCTGGATCCTCGGTCGCCTTCTGGTGTGCCAAAAAATGGTTTCTTTTTTCCTCGAGTGGCTGGATTATATTAGTTGCATCCGTCCGGCGTTCTTGTTGACCTTGATTTGTGCTGCTGCGGGTGGAGGATGTGGAACGGTTTGGCCTCCGATCTTGTTCCCTTGGTTCTTCCCTAATTCTTCTCCTAGTTGTCATGCGAGGAATTGAAAGCTTCGACATTTGCGTTTCGTTGGGTCGGTAACTCGGTCACAAACGATCCTTTTGGGTCTTTTTTAACCTTTCCATGCTGCAGGTGAACGGTTTCGCCTCTTTTCTCGTTTCCCTACTAGTTATATAAAGTTTCGATCTTTGCGTTTCATTGGGATCCGTGTGACTGGGGTGTTAGTTCTCGGATTCTTGGCGACTTGGTTTCTTGATTTGGACTAAAGTTAGTCGGATGTCGAACGGTTCTGCCTCCTACCTCGTTTCCCTTCTTCTTCTTCTTGTGTGGTTATAGTAGTTTTCTCGTAGTAATTGCCTTTCCAATTAGCGCAGTGGTTGGGATTCTTTTGGATGATTTCTTGGATTCTTATCTGGGTTTTTCCTGCTGACTGCACTTCTTGTGAATTTGGCTTTGAGTTTTTGAGTGTTGTGAACTTGAACCTGGGCGATCGTTGCTGTTTCTACAAATGATTCTCAACTTCATTTAAATCGAGCGTCATCAATTTCTAGGGTTTCTGAAAGTGATGTAAATCCATTCTTTTTTTTGGGGGGGGGGTTGGGGGAGGGGGGGGGGGGGGGGAGGGGTTGAGTTCTTCAACAAAAGTTAGCAATGCAATCGAACGTAAATAGTATTCATCTATCAAGTAAGTCAGACAGTTGAAATCATAATTTATAAAAGTTAATGTGTAAGAATTTTGAAAAAGTTACTTCATTCTTTCCTCATTTTAGTAGTTAAAAGAATCAAGGTGCCATCCTGTTTCCAGGATTTGGCTACATAATAGATGAATCTCTGATCATAAAAAAGCAATAAGGTTTAATATATTGTATTGATGATTATTTTCATGAAATCAAAAGAAAAGAAGGGGCGTTTTACTTTATTTTGATTATCTTATTCCCTGGTCGTTCTTTGTTAAAGATGTAATTTGAGACCTTTCATTCTTTGTTTATTATGTTGAATTTGTGCTTTAAGCTTCCTGGATCCACCAATGGAGTAAAAAGGCAAGAAAATGCCTTTTTGGCGATATTTGATATTGCTGCTCCTTTTTGGTGCATAATTCACGTCAGAGGTTTGGTTTGTTTTAAAAAGTAATTTTGGAATTTCCTTGTCTGGATATTATCATAAATGAACTTTTCGCTTTAAATATGCATCTGCTGCAGCATATTTTCTCTTTAATATAGTTTTTGAGGCATTAGCTTTATGTTAAATATGGATAAAATTTTGGACTCCCTAGTGGAAGATATCATTGATGGATTAGACTAGACTTTCCAAGTAAGAACTGTGAAAAATCTGTAGTGCTTGCAGGACATGGGTTTGGTGGTCTTCTTACAGATCATATAGTGTCATTTTCTGCACAACCTGCTTGTAGACACTAGCATTTTTTGTTGTGTATAGTGGAGCAAAAGTTGGGGTTTGTGAATCAACTTGATTTGGGGATCAGAGAATGCCGCTTTTGGAACTGATACCGATCGGAACAATCTTGGCACTGCTGACAGATCAGGTCTTACAAACAGCAACAGCCGCAAAGGATGTTCTTATTGAGAAAGAAAGTTTTAAAGCATTATCAAAGTATCTCTATGATATCGAACCTGTCTTGAAACAATTGCAGCTTCATGAGTTGAATGACACTCAAGCTGTGAGACAAGCATTGGAGTTTCTTAAAGAAGATGTCAAGAAGGCAAAGGACATAGTGGATAAATATAAGAACCGTGCACGCTTTTATTTACTTGTAAGATGCCGAAACATTGTCAGAGAGATACAAGATGTCACAAGGGACATTGGAAGGTCTCTTGGTGCTTTGTCCCTTGCAAGCACTGAAGTCCTCTCTGATTTATCAGAAAGGATGAATAGGATTCATGGAGAAATGCAGAAGGCTGAGTTTGAAGCTTCTCAAGCACAGATCAGAATTGTTGAGAAGTTGGATCAAGGACTTCGTGAGAGGAAAAGTGATCAGACCTTTGCAAATCACATGCTGGAAGAAATTGCAAAAGCAGTGGGTGTGCCTATTGAGCCATCAGAAATAAGTGAAGAACTTGCTAGTTTAAAAAGGGAAAAGGAAGAAGCAGCTGCTCGTAAGGAAAGGGCAGAAGAAATCTTTTTGGAGCAAGTTATTGAACTTCTATCTCATGCTGATGCTGCTGTTGATCAAGAGGAAATTAAACATCATTATCAACGTAGGGTCCAGACTATAGAAAACTATGCTCCACAGGATGAGTCCATTAAACCTTTGAACTCATTTATGTGTCCCATAACAAGAACAGTGATGGTCGACCCTGTCAGCCTTTGCACTGGAACTACATGTGAGCGAGCAGCCATCGAAACGTGGTTTGAATTTGGACATGCTATAGATCCAGAGACACACCAAATTCTTGAGGAGTTCTCACTAAGAAGCAACATCGGTTTGAGACAGTCCATTGAGGAGTGGAGAGAGCTCAACTATTGTCTTAAGATTAGGTCAGCGAAGGGAAAATTACAATCTGGTGATGATTCAGCATGTGCTAATGCTCTCGACCAGTTGCAGGACGTTATTAAAGAAAATCCAATCTGCAAGGATTGGATTGCTCTAGAGGGGCTTATTGATATCATCCTTTTGACAGTTCCAAGTAGCCATGATAGAGATTTAAAGAAAAAGGCTTTAGCAACATTAACTGTTATAGTTGAAGGGCATGCTAAAAATAAGGTATGGATTTCATTACTAAGTTTAAAGGCCATATGAAAACAAAGCAATAGTTACTTTAAGCACTATTTGTTTGTTACTTATTGCTGACTTCATATTATTCTTCACACTTCTAGAAATTGTTTAACATACTGTGTTGGTAAAATATTTGTTATCTTTTGATTTTCCAAATGTCACATTTATCCTAGAAGTCATAAGTAGAGATTCCTATTTGCTGCTATTGGCATGGTTTACTGTCATTGACAAACAAATCCTGTTAAATTGCAGTTTCATTTCTTGAGTTTTGATTATGAAGATTTAATTTGGAATTGAAGAATTATGAACAAATGTAACATTGCAATTACCTTACAATAGAGCTATCACAATTTACGGAGGATCCCTAATTTGCTAACTTAGTTGCAATTTAGCATGCATGCAATTATGATGAATTACAAATCCTTTATGTGCATCTCCGGGATGCATGCGGTGTAAGAAAATACTTATTTGGCTGTTTTCAAGTCCTTTTAAAAACTTAAATAGGAAAACTTTTAACTTCTACTGCTCCGAAGCTTCTAGTCTTCTTGCATTTATGAGTGTATGTATGTACACGAGGCTGTAATTCCTTCATCTTCAGATGCAATATGTTCTCTAGAATAGGTTTGTAAGCTCATCAGCTATCTTCTTGCACATACACCTATTTTTTGCTTTTCTATAAAGAATTCTCTTTTTTTTTTCTCCAGATTTATCTTTCCTGTATTCTTCTTTTTTGCCCTTCTTTTGTTTCCAGATTCTTTGGCAAGTTACATTTTTATTTCATTTTAGTCTCTCACTGCCTTTGCCAATATGTTATTCCATTCTATCTTGACTGTTAATATTCTTTATTGTTCAACAGCCACCCAAAATTTGCATGTGTAATGATGCCTTCAATATGCTCTTTTGGCAAATTTTGAGATAATGTACAACTTAATGCATAGAACTTCCTCACAGGATATAAATTTATGCCTATGTGTAGTATCTGTCCATTCTGAGACATATTCAAAGCATCTGTCTCTGGAACATTCTCCTGGTTTATGTCATCCACTGAGAATATACATTCTAATTTCTCTTATTGTATTAAAACACTAAAAAAAATTAATTTTCTTTCCTGCATTGTCATTGGTTGAAATCCTACAATTCTTATTTGTTTTAGAAGCCTTTCCATTTCTTTTAAAAGGCAAAAAAATATTACTGGGACAGGAAAAAGTGGTTGAAGCTGGTGGACTTGATCATATAGTTATTTGTCTGGGACGTGGTCCAGACATTTCAAGGGCTGCAATTGAGTTACTATTTGAACTACTGCATGATGGTTCAAGGTGGTATAAATCTACATGTAAGAAACTTAAGCAGCTAAAAAGCTCCATTCTTTTTCTCGTGATGCTTCTGAACAATGAAGTCAGGGAGTCAGCAGAAAAATCTGAAGTTATTTTATGGAAGCTTTGCGAAGATGATGATGATACTATTTTATCTGCAGCTGCTTCTAGTTGGTACAAGCCACTCATCGATCGTCTCAGTCATGGTAAGTCCTTAAATATTCAACCATTGTGATTAGTGCACAGTAAATTTTCTTAACATTTCTTAACTTCTTATACTATCGTGGGAAATTAATTGCCAAACTTGAAAATCCACCGTCACCCATTGAAAAATTATTACTGTCTCTACATGATACCCCCATATGGTCTCACATCAGAATAAGGAGGATGATTATGATGATATACAAACTTAGATGATGGTGTGGTGGACAGCTTAGCCATTTTCTCACCTAATGATTAACGGTTATCCATAGATCTCCTGGGAGAATTGCTACTATTTCTTTTTCTTACCCTACTCATGTTTCCTATCTGACAAAAGACAGCTGATTGTATCCTAGTGCTTATGAGTTGAGAATTTCATCAAGCAGAAACACACACAACTTCTCATGAATTATACTCTTACTCCATCCCAATGATATTACTTGACATAAGGTGTGGTCTTAAGGAGACATATATGCAAAACCTTTGATCTTTTAATTGCATGCTTGCTTATAGTTTTTTCAACTCATTTTTACACTTCAACTTTTAGGTCCAGAGTCATCAAGGATATATATGGCGAGATCCATTGTGAAAATGGAACTGATTGATCAGAACATAAGGCTTCTTGGTGATGAAGGAGCGATCCATCCATTGGTAGAGTTGGCATCTGGAAATCTTGAAGCGAAAGATTCAGCTTTCTCTGCTCTAGCCAAGTTGTTGAGTTCCCGGGATAATAAAAGGTTAATTGCTGTAGCAGGAGGGGTTCCCCTGGTAATAGAACAAATATCTTCTTTGCGTGTCCCCTCAATTATTGTTGGTGAGTGCTGTGAGATTCTTGAGAATCTCACTTCAGACGATGGCATAGAATTTCTTGTTGATGCAAATGGAATGCATCTCGCATTGGAGGCTATCATAACCAACTTAATCGCCATGCTTCAAAATTCACATTACTCGCCAAACATTTTGAAGCCAGTCCTACTCACACTTTTGAATATCTACAAGTCAGACCAAGTAATTTCACAGAAGGCAATTGCTGCAGCTAATGGTGTTTCTGTTATATTTTCCTTGCTTGAAGATCGCGACAGGAAAATGCAAGAACTTGCACTTAAGCTCATCTATCATCTTTCTCAGCATGAACCGGATGGTATAACAAGTTTCCTCCTGGATAAAAGGCTGGAGACAGTCGTTGACTTTCTTGAAGATGGCACTCAATGTGATGTGCAAACAGCAGCAACAGGGTTATTAGCTTGTCTTCAGAGCTCTGAGGCAGCACTTAATGAAAGATTGATTCAGTTAAATGTATTGCCACTACTTATGAGCATACTCAATACGAGTAATACTGAAGCAAAAGAAAATGTGCTCAGGGCCCTTATCAGGTTTGTAGATCCAAGTGATGTTGAGATGCAACGGAGGGTGGTAAAACTGGGAGCCTACCCATTGTTTGTGAGCATCTTAAAGTCTGGTAGCTTAACAGCCAAGGCAAGAGCAGCAGCTTTAATCAGCAAACTGTCATCGAGCAGTTTCACGCTAACTGTTGCACCAGTTACGACTGGCTGCTGGTGTTTCCGAGCAGTATCCTTCCCTGCATGTGAGGTGCACGGTGGAATATGTGATGTCACTTCTAGTTTTTGCCTTTTAAAGGCGCAGGCATTACCCGAGCTGATAAGATTGTTGAAAGAGCACGAAGATGCAACAACTTATGAATCACTTCACGCGATGGGGACTTTGATTCAGGATGGTTCGTCTTGTAGAGTTGCCAAGGTTCTACATGAAGCAGGTGGCATCAATCCAATAGTGGATATTTTGAGTTGGGGAACACCAACCTTAAAGGAAGAAGCTCTTGTAATACTAGAGAAGTTATTTCAGTACAGGGAAGTTGCGGACTTCTACCGTGCAGTAGCAAAAATCCCGCTTATTGGTTTGTCCACCAAGAGCAATGAGAATGGGCATCTCGGACGGAGGGCTGCTCAGGTCCTGTTAGAGCTCGACCGCTACTCCAAATCAAGTTCGATGCCGCTTACTTAGATGGTATGCATTCATCTAAACTGTGACCATGCTTTCTGTCAGATTCCTCCGCAATTTATAACATTTTGGTGCTAAAAAACCCTGCCTCATTCAGCCATTTTCCATGATCCGGTATACAAGTTTGCGAATTCAGATTCTTCTTTCATGTTATTGTCTCTGGCCTCTTGGCAACATTTTTCTGAACATATCTTAGGTAAGATCCTTGTAGTCTGTTTTTGTTCTATAGAAAGTTGTGTGCAAGACTACCATCCACAAAACAATGCATGTAGATATGATATATCTCAATCTACTGAGTCACAGGTTTTAGATTTGAGCTATAAGCAAAGGATCTTTCCAAAAGAGTCACTCAGTAGCAAATTTACCTGCCAATTTGTTTTAGCCGTCCTCCCTTTACATGGTGGGGTATATATTAGGGTGATTGCAATATCCTATTTTTGTGTTTTTTTTTTCCTGGATGGTGCTCCTTTTTCAAAATTTTCAAACCATCATATCTTATTTTAAAATTTTCAAAAATATCCCCTAAACACTATTCAGTGTTTTCCCATCTAAATTCAAAAAATAAAAATTTTATCAATTGTTTATAGTGTTTTGTGGATTAATTTTTTATCCACAAAACACCGTATAGTGTTTTTAAAATAAGACACTATACAATATTTAAAAGTACTCTTCAATATTGTTAACGCACTATACATTGTTTTAAAAACAATGTGTAGGGCTTTAAAAACACTATATAGTGTTGTTTTAAAAAATATATAGTATTTTGTTAAAAAATACTATATAGTGTTTTATGGATAAAAATAAATCATAAATACCCTTTTTTTAAGGAGTTTTTTTTTTAAATATAAAAAATAGAGGGTGATGATTTGAGAATTTTAAAGAGGTTTCATCTGGGAAAAAATTTTCAGAATATTTTTTCGAATTATCGAGTGTGTTTACATGTGTCTATATATATATA